ACACACACACACACACACACACACACACACACACACACACACACACAAAGCAAAACCTTAAACTCAGTTGAAATTTATGACAATTCCATCAAATGTGGAGTGTTCTTTATTCTAATGTTAGCAAGATACAATGTTTGTTAAGTACATTGTCTTAACAGTTTCTTAAAACATTTAGAAGTCAATGAAATAACCTATGTGCTAATAAACTATGACTCAAAAGTACTTTTAAGGCTAAGTTGTCTTATTTTGAGAATATGCCTCAAGTTCTCAATGCTCACTTTCAAAACATTCTATAATGTGAGCTGTTCTGTTTAGTTTTGCGAGCTGTTCTTTGTTTACGATTTGCGAGCTTCTCCAGGACTTACTTGCCCCATGATGCCTCTAGGTGCTGGAGGTGTGAATGTATATTCTCTTTTCCTCCACAAATTCTACACGTGAGTGTGGGCTCTCTGCATACGCAGGGTAGTGATCAAAATATCACAACCTTGTTAGCTAGGAATTACACTATAATAGGTCAGATTTAAGGCTGACTAAAGTGGATGATATTTTCCTAGGAAATTTATATGTTAGATTGAAAGAAATGGCTGTCACAAAGCATACCACTTTCTTTCATAATTTAAATCAGCATTTATAGGTCAATCAATGTTCTATGAGATATGCTGATCAGAATGACCATCTAATCTTAATACTTTGAAGTATTATATATTCTACTTTGAATGCTATTCTTCAACTGTAAGTATGGTTTGATAAGTTTTAAATCTTTGTTCGAGGCAGGAGTCTATATTCTTCTTAAAATCTGTTTATATTCTCTTAGACGTGTGTCTATAAACAATTACATTTTCTAGTGACCTCATGGGATTAGCCTCTAAATTTCCTTTCAGCATTCACTGTTGCTTGAACACAGTAACAAAATTTATTTCCCTGTCTTCCTATCTTCTATCAGAGATACAAACAGAAAACTTCAGACACAGAGATTAGAAGATGAACCTTGGCAAGGTTCTGGAAAATGGTGTCTGATTGGACACGCTTGCTCCTCCAGACATGTGGCATTAATAATGCAGCCATTATATATTGGCCTCATCATTGAACTTCCTATCCGTCCTGGTTAAATCAAGTTAAACTCAAATGCTGATTTCCTGCGTGTCTTCCGAAAGTGCCACTGAATGCTTACTAAAAGAAAATTATTTAAGGAGCCCATCCTACACTTCAGACAGAATGGTTATTTTAAAATGTCAAATAAAAGGGAAAATGGCTAAAGAGTGAATGAGAATTTTTGTTGGTTACCAGTGGTCGAGTTAACTAAGCTACTGTTCTGAAAAAAAAATGCAATTTTTAATGCTTGCCTTTATCTAATGACCCAACTTTCCCTTCAATGTAGCTATCTGATACTTTATATAGAAGAAGTTATCTCTTCTCATTGAATTTTAAATATGGGTTTATACCTATATTATCACATGGGCATACTAAATCTGTGCTATTTAAATATAAGTACACAATTCAAAAAGTGTCTTTAACTCATTAAATACAATACTATTATCCCTTTTATTTCTACATTCCATCTGCTCTACTTCAAAAAAAAAACTATATCTATGGAGAGAAACTTCATGTCTGCTAAATGCTATTATTTAAATATTTGTTAATACAGTTAATATATTTCAAAATTTGTCATTGTCAATTTGCCAGCTTTTAACAAGGGATAATTATGGCTCATGGAACAATCTTTGATAACATAGTCTATACAGGACTGTAAGTATCATCTCACTAAATACGTGACTATTACTCTGATAACATCTGTGGATCTTTGCAATTTTTTTTGAGACAAGGTCTCACTATGTATCTCTGGCTCACCTCTAATTCACAGGCTGATCAGCCTCTGCCCCTCAAGTGTTGACATCTATGGAAAATAGCATAAATTTAATTATCACATGAATCAGAAACAAGGGCAAATCTCTGATTCTTTTGGACACCTAGATGGCCAGCTTGTGTGATTATTCTTGATGTATTAAGAATTTAAACTGCAGTGATTTACGTAAAGTGCTTCTGATGATAGGGTTGACAAACATAGTCTGATGCTAACATGTGTCAATAAAGATGTAGTGGAATGCAAGCTGGTCCATCAGTTTATTCGTTGTCTATGACTTCATGCCACAAGCACAGGGTTTAATGATGACATCATCACCACAAACCTTAAAATATTTGATATCTAAACCTTTATAGGAAAAACTTACCAACTCTGTGATCTAAATGGTTAAATGGGATATAAGCAATGGTTAAATGGGATATTTAGTCTTCTGAAGGTTTTAGAACCGAAACATAGGCAACCCAGTTCACGGGAGAAGGTCAAACATCTGGTTTAGCTACCAAGGCAGTCAGCTATCAGGTGAAGTAAGCAGCTTAGGAACGATGTTTAAAACATCATGATCTCACAGACATCAGCCTAAAATTGTCAGTTTTACATTAAATGTTCACATGCTTATTCTAGATTTCAATTATTATATTTTAAAATATTAGTTTTCAAAATAATAATAGCTATTTTCTTTTAAGATAACATGAATATCCATACTAAGACACACTAAGGGAATGATAATTATTTAAACTCATTCTGAGTTACTTATTTCCCAAGAAACATAAATATAAACCTGGATATTTCCTTTGCTGGGGAATACTTGTTAATTTTCCTACCCACATTGTTTTGTTTGTTTGCCTTATGCCTACTTGTGAACTGTGGTTAATGAAGAAAAACATCTGAACCCTTTTTGTGATGTTTATTTGTTATGAATACCACATTTTGAGCCAAAATTAACTTACCATCATTTCAAGTATATAGGGGTTACAGTCTAACAACAGCCTTTGCAGGATGTTGACATTGGATACAGAAGATGGACTGTTTGGTGGAATGATTTTATTTTATCAATACAAGTGCGAGTTTGAAATGTCTTTATTATTTCCCTCCTTGAGGTTGACTATCAATTCGCATCATATTGTGCAGTGCCAATTTCAGAAACATCTGGAGCCTCCCACACCTATTAGTAACTCAGGGTCGACCAGTCACAAACAGAGAGAGTAACACAATGGCTTTGTTAATGTTCTCATGCGACAGGCAGAGGCAGTCAATATTAGACCTGGTGGAACGCTCTAGCTCTAGGTGACTCTGAGGGGAGGTGGAGCAACAAGAAAGCAGCACCGACTGAGCATGCTCCTATTCAGGCAGAGACAGAAAGGGAGTGGACGTACTGTAGAAGTTGGCCATTACGTAGTTTTGGCAACGATCACCAGTAAACTCATTTGGGCACCTGAGAGAAGAAACAAAAAAACAATGGTAGAAAAAACAGAGAAAAAGAGAAGAGGTGAATATATGCTAGAGAGAAGCTCCTGCAGTGTCATTGACTGCACTTGGTGAGTTCACCCTCAGGAACCGACGCTTTGTCCTAATCATGGCTTTCAGACTCTGACATCTCCCCAGTGCTTACAAATTTGGACAATCTGCAGTTTACAGCCCTGTATGACAGTGAGATTCTGGGATTCTGTGTGAGTGCCTTCTTCCAAGGGAATGACAAAACAGATATGATATTTTATTGATCTAGTCAAAGAAGTTGGTAGAAAATGGTTTGGGGTTGGTTCACTGCTATGACTCCCAGAATCACAGGCTAAACTTACTGGCCATTGCTTCCTATTCTAACTTTGGGAACTAAGCGAATAACAGGTAGCTGAGACTACAGTAAATGGGTTTATGTCCTGAGTGGAGAAGCCATAATTAGAACAAAAGCAATCAGTTACAAATGAGCTGTAAAAGCACCAAGAGGTTGCAATTGTTGCTGTAGTTTGGGGAGAAAAGCAGATTTCGGATTATTTGAACATACTTTCTTGGGTTTGGACTTTCATGGGCACATTCTCAGTACATCTTGCTCCAGTGAATCCAGGTTGGCACCTAGAGGGCAAAAATGTGATAAGCAATCGAACGCTCAAGACACTGAACTTTCAGCTGGGTACCTTTCCTCCCAGGGGATATGGAGTCCTAAAAATGACCCGGTGCTGAACAACACAGAAAAGACAAGACACAACACTGAGAAACCCAGTGTCGCCAAACTGCAGCTTACTGATTTTGTTGCTTTCTTCAGTCTTCAGATTAGTTACTGAAATTTAACTCTACAGAGGCTGTGAGCTGAATGGGGAGGCGAGGCTGCTTCCAGCCTGCCTCACCCTGGGTGTCACTGTGTTAAAACGCTGCCATAGATATTAACTCTTGTGGTCTCACTCACTTCTTTTGTTAATGAAAGACTTTGAGCCTTTTATCTTATTGTGTATGTACTCGGGTTTCTACCCATTTTGTTGTACAGGCTCTGAGATTTCTACTCATTTCGTAGCTGTTTGCTAAACTGTTAAGTTGAAATATTGAAGCAAAATAAATCACTTTCATTCTCAATGAAAGTGATAATTCCTATTTCTTTTACCCCCTCAAGTCTTACAAATTCAGCCTTATTTTTAATATCATTGAAAGAATCCAAGTAAAATTTTGTTGGTATAATTTCATTCATCCAACTACCTCCATTAAAAGAAAAAAAAATACACTTTTGAAATTAAAAGTTATCCTTATACAGAAGTACATATGAAATGCCACTTTTATGTTTATGGTTGAATATTCTGAACTTACGTAAAAGTTGTATTTTATTTGCTTATATCAATTTACTTGTCAAAATTCAAGACTCTTGATATACTTTTGTTCTTAAGACCAGACAATGGAGCCATGCTTAGACATGAAAGTCCTTTATTGTTCATACTGCTTTTAAATCTAGCATTTAAAGTATTTTAGATTGGGGTTAATTTACCTAATATCATGTCCTAATAAAGAGGTATTGGAGAGTTCTAGAAAGCAAGTATACTTAGAGGTAAAAATTCATAACTGAATGTTCAACACCCACAGTCATATAGTTCATCATAGCTGTCACAAAGCTTCCTAACAAAATTTCCTATGCCAGTATTGACTTGTGATTTTTATATGTCCATCTCTAGAGTAAATAAGACAGAACACTATCATTTTGGCATTAAATATGTGAATAAATCTGCTAGTTATACCAACCTAAGAGTGATTTCTTTAACTTTCAGGCCAAACTCAATAGGAAAACAAACAAAACAAAACAAAATGCTGTCAAGTAATTTGAAACATGAAAATTTCTGATTGCATGGAGTTACAAAAATACTATCAATTCCAGGATTCTTATCACATGACTGCTTGGACAGTGTAAATGTGGTCATTAAGAAGAACATCAGTAGGGCAGAGAGATGAGTCAGCAGTTAAGAATGTATGATGTTCTAGCATAGGACCCAATTTCAATTCCTAGTAGTTGTTAACCACATTAGATAGGTTAACAACTACCTGTAGCTATAGCTCCAGAGAATCTGATGCCCTCTTCTGGCCTCCATATGCACCTGCACTCATGTGCACCTACTCCCTACCACACATATACATAATTATAAAAATAAACATTAAAGAGATTATCAATAAATCTATACAATAAATAAATGTGCCGAGATGGTTCCATTAAAGTCTCGAAAACACTTGGAAAAACTGATTGTTTTGCTAATAATTCTTTGCTGTAGGAATTAGAGAAAGATCTGCCTAGAACAATATATAAGAATTGACCTATGGAGTAGGAAGGAGTATTTCCACAAAGACGTCATCTTACATGCTTAAATAAGAATGCCTAGATGGATATTAAAGAAAAAATACTCCACATAGCTCATTTGATCAAATCACTTCTGAACAAAATAAACTTTTGTTTGTTTGCTCATGAATTCAGAACCATAATCCTACAAGATATTTCTATACTTGAGTCTAGAATTACAGATACATTCCACAGTGACCATTTCATCTACTTGTTTGCTTTTTGGAAAAACACTAAAAATATCATATTGAGCATACCATAATCTATTTTTCTATAATTAATATGGCATAACATCAATTCTCTCTCTCTCTCTCTCTCTATATATATATATATATATATATATATGTGTGTGTGTGTGTGTGTGTGTGTGTGTGTGTATGAGAGAGAGAGAGAGAGAAAGACAGACAGACCGACAGACAGATAGGAGGTGGAAAATAAAGGTTTACCCGAGGTAAGAACTGCTCATACTGAGCATATTCAAAGACTATGATTTGAATAAATAGCTAAGTAATCAAGAGTTAATTGAGAGAAGTAAGGCATTTTTTAGGAAATTACAGTTTAGGCATATTAAATGACAGACCTGTGATGAAAGGCTATGTGTCAACTATACAAATAGGGTTTAAAACAAAACACACAAAACAACTTTCCTATATATATTCTCCACTATGAATTTTGTGTGTATTCTAGGAGATTATCATTGTGGAATGTTGGGTTAGTTCTGTTACATGATCATACAAAATACTTGGTCCAATAACACTGTAACATAATAATTTTTGTTCAAGATATAGCTACTCTTTTTAAAAAATTTATTAATTATTTATTATAATTTATTCACTTTGTATCCTGGCTGTGGCCCCCTTCCTCATCTCCTCCCAATCCATCTCTCCCTCTCACCCTCTTCTCTTATGGCCATCTCCTAGTCCACTGATAGGAGAGGTCCTCCTTCACTTCTCTCTGACCCTAGCCTATCAGGTCTCATTAGACCTGGCTGCATCATCTGCCTCTGTGGCCTGGCAAGGCCCCCAGGGGAAGGTGATCAGAAAGCCTGCCACTGAGTTCATGCCAGAGACAGCCCCTGCTCCCTTTACTAGGGAACACACTCGGAGACTGAGTCTATGGGCTACATCTGAGCCTGGGTTTTAGGTCCTCTCCGTGTATGGTCCTTGGTTGGGGTATCAGTCTCTGCAGGCCTCCAAGGGCCCAGTTTTTTGACTCTGTTGGTCTCCTTGAGTGAGGGAACCCAGAAACAGAAAGACACACACGGTATATACTTACTCATAATTGGTTATTTGACATATAATATAGGATAAACATACTAAAATTTATAGTCCTAAAGAAGCTAGGGAAGATGCTAAATCCTCATTCCAAAAGGCAAATGCAATAGACATCAGAAGCAGAAGACAGGGAACAGGATAGGAGTCTTCTATAGAGGGCCTCTGAAAGACTACTGATTGAGCTATTGGCTGAGACTCATAGTCAAACTTTGGGCAGAGTGCACGGAATTTTATGAAAGAAGGGGGAGATAGAAAGACTTCGAGGGAGCAGGAGCTCCAAAAGGATACAGCTACTCTTAATGGAATAAAAATTCTGCTTTTTTTCTGTGAATCCCTGACTCCATCTCCTTTCTCTACGAGGGACTCCTTCCCTGTTTCTCTCATTGTGCCTTGTCATATGCCTGGCCTAGACTTCTTTAACTGTGCTAGCTATGTTCTGATGAATGTGAATGGTGGTCGATAACACAGAAACTCTATCTCTTCTGCCTAACCTAGAGCTTACATGATGTCTAATTCTAACTGCAGTATCTTCTAAAGAACTGTACACCAAAAACTTCTACAAGTAAACTGATTTGTTAAAACAAGTTAATCTTAACATCTACTTTTTATCTTTATAGTTTATAATAGAATTTCCTCTGTGGATTCTCAAATAAGTTTTAATAGAAATTACCAGTATCTGGAGATTTCCTTCCCCAAGAAGAAACCTTTAACACTATTTGCCATGTTAAAGAGAATGGGCTATGATTATTTAAGAGAAAGCCTATTACCTAAGCATTAAATCTTGTTGCTTAAACACCAATTTACCTAAGATTCAATAAAGCATAACTGTGATCTAACAAAGACTTTTGTCTAACAGCAGTAACAGAAATACTAGGATTTTTCAAAATGACATTAGCCTTAAAATGACACATAAAATGGTACTATGTATTCTTAATTTTACATAGTGCCTGATGAAATAATTTCATTTAAGTCTATATTAAGATAAATTCTAAGCAATGCCAAAAGTTGTTTTAGCCTAGAGTCCAGCTATAATTAATATAGTCTTGTCTTCATATGTGAGGATCACAGCCTTTCTTTCAGTTTTAAGGTACATGAATTTTCTTTTATCCAGTTAGCAATCCCTAACAATTTTCTGTAATCGTTCAAACCAGGAGTACTGGCAATCATAATTTACTCATTTAATTAAATTAATATACATAGTTGAATTTTATAAAAACTATTTTAATAATGACAATATTTTAATAATGACAATAATGAATGACCGGATACATTTACTAAGGATTCAATCATAGATGCATGTGTTTTGAGAATTAGTTTAGACATATTAATATTCTAGACATACTCAAAGATGTTTAA